TGGAGTCTCTTTCTCGGGAAAGTTTAAAACCCCGCCTGGATGCGATCCTGTGCAACCTGCTCTGGGTGACCCTGCTTTAGCAGGGGGTTGGACTAGATGGTCTCCAGAGGTTTCTTCCAACCCCTACCAATCTGGGATTCTGTGTTTCTGTGATTGTTAAAACAACTTTTTGTAACCCTAAACGGGACATGAAACACATTCAGGAGACATAGCAATAGCAGCACACTGGCTTTAAAATCCCAAAGGGTTCCAAGGGTATTCAAAATTCTCGAAAATTGTTGTGACCAACCAAAAAGGAAAAGAGGAGGTAAAAGAGTGGGAGAAGGCCCCCCCCCATCTTCCCCATAGACTGGGTGCCATTATTAATCAATTCTGAGAGATGTCATCTGAGGTACGGACATGACAGCAATGCCACATACAGATACCAGCTTAACCTCATGACCAGTGATGTTATCATATCATCAGTCAATATTGCACAGCACAGCAAAATGAGAATCCTGACCCCTCTCCCAGAGGTGATAAACAGTACCACAGGAAATACATACAGCAAGTATGGGTTTATATACCACAGCCATGTGAACTAACAAAACACCATTGTGACCTTGACTGCTTACCTAATATTATAAACAATTATAACAATACACTCGGGTCAGATCTGTCGTTATCTCAATGTCCTGTGCCCCACGTTGGGCACCAAAAAGGACTGTTGTGGTTCAGCCCCAGCCGTGGCTGAGCACCACACAGCCACTCGCTCACCCCTCCTGCCCCGGTGGGGTGGGCAGGAGAATGGGAAAAAAAAAGGCAAAACTCATGGGTTGGGACAGCAAAAGGAGAGGGAAATAACAAGAACAGTACTTACATGCACCACCTCTCCCTGACTAGCCTCCTTTTATGCTGAGCATAAGCATGAAACCAGCACAGATGGGCAATACAAGGTCTCATTTACAGCTGTAGGTTTATTTCAGCATCACACAAACAATATTGGTGCTATCTGCCAGTAACCTCTATTTTTCCTGTATTTAACAATGCCTATACCAGTGGTGTATCTTGCAGGTGCAGAGAGCAGCTCAGTGCTCAAGGAGGTAGGTTTCTCGACCAGTCTCAGCCGAGTCAAAAATAAAATAAGCCAAGAGCTGGGGTATCTCCATGGGGTTTGCAGCCTCCAAAGGGCAACCGGCGAAGCGGCTAGGGGCTGGCAATCATTACCACAGCTAAATCCTGCAATGCCATGCCTGAGCCCTGGCGCAGCAGGGAGCGGGCAAAGGAGAATGGGCAGGCAGGGAAGAAGTCCAAAACAGAAAGTGCTGAAGAAGTTAAAAGTTGGCATGGCTGTGGTTTAAACCCATGTATGTTAGGGGTCAAGAAAGGGTTAACGAATAATAAAAAGAAAGGTTTAATGAATAAGAAGAAAGGGTTAATGAATAATTAAATTGCTGCTGAAGCTGGCATTGAGTCAGCCTTGAAATATCAGGCAAATGCTAGATCTGTAACCAAGGATTGTCCTCCCATCCCACCCACAGCTGTCCCCATGAATTGCTGAAAGCCAAGCCTATTAGATATAAGATTTATTGAGGTGATACAGTCAAAAGAAAATGGAAGAGCTGCTGCTATCAACATCCCCTGCTACAGCCAGAATGCCCCAGCCTTTGAAAGAAAGTCTGTGGGCAGCCTGTCGCCTGGAGTTAAGGAGCAATGTTGACAGGTCACAACAATAAAACCCAACCTAGTTAGAAGTTGTGCTGGCTTTGGCACCTGCTTTTGTCCCTTGCCAGCTGGAACAGGGTATCAGTGTTCCTGGTGGCTGCCAACACAAGATAAATGGAGGCAGGCAGCCCAGGTGAGCCACGCTGGTGTCCTGGCACCCCCATCCCCTTCCAGCGTCTCCGCAGTGACCCTAATGGGGAGCATCCGGGTCCCTCTCCATCGGCCGTGGGCTCTGCCATGGGACGATGATACCGGCTGATCCAGGGGGGCTGCATCCGGGACAACCTGCCCCTCCCAGATAACATTATTCATCTGCCTGGGCAGATGCAGGAACACACCCCCCAGGGAGCAAAGAAAAGGCCATTTATCATGCACCGGCAGCACTGGGCCACAACAACAATGCCCTGCCAGCACCACCTCCCAGGGCAGGCAGGGGCTGGGGCAGGACCCGCTGCTTCCCACTCCAGTGGGGATGGCATTTAAGGATTAAGGGAGTGAAAAGCTCTAAAGAGGGCAGAAAGAGCTTGTAGCCAAATCTGAGGGCAGGGTCCCATCCCACCCACCCCGATACCAGGCAGGTATGGCCTTCAAATGCTGCACTGGCAGAGAAAGGAGGAAAAAGGAAGTAAGGCACCCAACCCCAGGCAGGCAGGGACACAGTTCAGTCAAAAGTCAGCCCCAGGGCACCGCTGCTCCCAACAGAGGCATTGTCAGGAAAAAACCTAGGCTGCTCCCCTCACAAGATGAGAGAAGAGAGCAGGGGGCTTGTCTCACCAGCCATTCCATCACCAGGGCAGGGGGGGAAGCATTTGCTCCCCTTAGCAAAATCCCACAGAAGCCAGGCTGCAATTAGGGCTAGCCCCCTCCCTGCACCCTCAGGTCCCCATCCCAGCCCAGGAAGAAAAGGGGGAACAACAAGGGCTCCCTCCCCCAGCTTGCCCCTGTGGTAAAGAAGACAAACCAAAAGGAGGAGAGACAGCTGGACACTTTTATTAAGAACTTAAAATGATTCATCCCCTAAAATGTTCTCTGCTGCCTGCCCCCAGTGCCAGCAGGGAGAAGTGCCACAGTACCAGAACAGGACCTGCTGCTTGGGCTCCGATTGTCACCAGCCGAGGAGCCAGGGCTCCCCTGGGGATTGTATCTGCCACAGGCACTCCTGGGACTGGTGCCCTGGGGCAGAGCCAGTCTGTTTGCAGTGTCACACAAGGGAGGGACAAGTACAGCATCCATATGCCTGCGTGCACCAGTCCAATGTCCTCACACACACATACATCCACACATTTTTTTTTGCCCTGAAGGCTAGCTCCCACCTTACCCACAACCCACTGATTGAAGGAGAGAGGTCTCCTGTGCTCCTGGGCAAGGTACAAAAGCTCCAGTGGACGATGGCTGGGGGGCGTGCAGGCTGGTGGAGCACCTGATTGATGGGGAAGGGGCACAGGCTCCAGCAGTGCCTCCTTATCCCACCCGTCTTGTCTCCGAGACGACAGCTGGTCCCACCTCGTGCTCAGCATGGGTGGCTAGAAGCCCCCTGAGGTGAAAGGCATGTAGTGGAGGTAGGGAAGGAAAACAGCAATGTGAGTATTATCAAAGAGGGGGAGGGAAGGGTCCCTGCCCACCAGTTGAGGCCCCCCCAGCCCCATCGTGCACCCACTCAAGGGTGGATGGGGACCTGGGAGAGCTGTGAGGGTGCTGGTGCCCAGCCAGCTCTGCGCTCCAGGGCCAGCTGCATGCTCCAGATGCTAAGGGGCCGCATGTAAGCCAGCGACCGGTAGACCTTCTTCTCCCGATAAGCCTCCGGTGTCTGGAAAGCCATGCCCAGCTGCTCCCAAACCGTCCGGTAGCAGCCTTCTGCCGTATGAAAGCCTTCTTCCACCAGCCCCTATGGTAGAGAGAAGACTACCATCAGCACATCCACAGAGTGCAAGGAGATGACATGTGCCAAAGGGTGTAGCATCGCTACTCACTTCCTGGATCATGGTGGCAGCCAAGGCGTAGACCACACCAATCCACACCTCGTCGGACTGCACGCTGGAGGTGTCGGGCACCCCATCAGGCCTCATGCCATTCACTGCTCCCATGGTGCCACCAGCAAAGCTCATGACATTCTTCTCAAAGATGGTCTTGAGCGCACTGACAACATGACTTTTGGGGAAGACCTGTGTGGAGAGAGAAAGAGAGGGTTTTGGGCTCAGTGCTTTAGGCGGACCCCTCAGGCTGGGTCTCTAGGAAGCAAGGTTAAGCTTTCCATGAGGAAGAGGTCAATGCTATTCACTGCCACCTCAGGAAAAGAACAGGAGGAAGTAAAAAAGCCT